AGTACATTGGTTTATTAGTGCATAGCTATGTCTTTAGCTCTAATCAAGAGGAGATGTATGAATGTTCTTTGAGTTTAGATAGAGTTACTTTATTCTCTAGGACCCCAAAAAGCTGTAAATAAACAGATTATTTTATGCACACATCTGATTCCTTCCTTTCTTGTAAAATCCTTTCAAGTCTCGGCAGCTTCATGCTTGCTGACTTCTTTGATCAAAAACTGCACTCATTTTGGATCCAGTTAAAAGACTGTGTTTTATAGGAAGTCTTCTGAGACTTTTTTTTCCAGGTGACTCAGTTACTGTCATCTCTGTGTGGGTTCTTCTGCTATGGAACGTATTATATTGCCTTTTAGTTATTTGTTTACATGTCTGGGTTTCCACCTAATTACTGAGCTCGTTACATAAATATCTTTGCATCCTTAGTACCTAGCACACAGCCAGGCACATAGAAGTATCTTAGAAAATATTGGCTGGATGCATTATTAAGCTGAGAATGTTGTCTAGCTTGGGAATATGTACACTTTAAAAAGATGACAACAAAATGACACTTTCTAATTTGGGGATTTTAGTTAGCAATCCTCTGTGTATAAAAGCTATTGGGATAGCAGAGAGGCCTTCCCAGAACCACTGGACTCTGTTATTCTGCTTATCCCTGAACTTACAAACTTTAAATCTCTTTCTATAGCTGATAATTCTATGAATTAGCCTTAACATTCAGAGGTGGGACAAATGGTGTCATGTAGGTGGTGGTGGTGTAATTTTAAGGAAATCAGTAAGATTTTCCTTCCTCTACATTTCCTTTATTTGTGTTTGGGATTCCATATATCTATTGCCTTGTTTTCACTCTGCAGTCATGCTATAGACTAATCTTAAAACAGAAATCTGTAGAGACTTGCAGTAATTTATTAACCAGATCATTTATCTTCATGGTGGGAGAAGTCTGGAGAGGCAGGAGCTCTGTATACCTGGAGAAAGCAAGGATGGTAATTAGGGACACCAAAGACCAAATGTGAGTTATTGACACCTCTGTCAAAACTTAATCTTCCCTTGAGATGGTATTTTTATATAATATTGTCCTAATCTACCAAAAGAGGTTATGCAAATAGTACTATAAACATCTTTGTATTTATTTAGTGGAATATTATATATATTATATTATGATCCAGATGGGGAAAAGATTAGGGCTTCAAAAAGCATATGAAGGCCACTTAGTAACAAATTTACAGAGATACAAATATCCCAATGTTTTCTGTTTCTCATTGAACTATTCAAATCACATATGAAGATAGCTGTTTTATCCTATTTGCTCTTTTTACCACCAAATGGTAGGAATTTTAAAAGCTTTACTATAAATCACCCAACCGTCTGTAGAGTTTGGGTTGCTTTTCATAGGTTGATGACAATGTAAGTGTCTTGGACTGTAAGTACTTCCGTTTGGCATAATCTTGCTCTATACTTGCAAAAGAATACTATTATAGAAACGGACTATTGTCTCTCATCAGCAATATTTGAAGGATATAGATACAGGTAAAAAGATGGTGACTCAAGGCTTAGGTAAGTTGACCATCACCCACATTCATATCTATAAGCTTTTTCTCTGTATATGCTTAGAATATGGGACTATGTTTTCTATGTATGTGATATAATTAAGGAACCCTAAGCTTCTGTGAAACAATATATTTTTACTTTGAAGAATTTATCTAACAGGGAACTCAGCATCTGAAGGGAGTAGGTTATAACTAACCCAAGAATTATTTGTCAGTTCTCCTGCCCTCACCTCCTCCAATATATAGAACTCAAACTCACTTCTATCCTTCCCCAGTCTCTGTCTTCCTGGTAGAACACTAAGGAACTCACAATTCTCACTTGTAGGAGACAGAAGTATCCAGGTATTTGAAGCACAGAATCCACACTTTGTCTCTTAATAACTATAATCGTGGTCAAGATACCTAATCTCCAGATTCCATCTCCTCATCTGTTAAAGTGAGGTTTAAAAATAGTACCTACCCATAGGGTTGTAGTGAGTTTTAAGATAATGCACACAACGCACAATGCTGGAAAATAACAAACATTTCATAAATAATAGTTGCTATTATTATAGTTAATGTAATAGTATTCCCCCTTTATGCCCCTCATATTTCCATGAAGGGAAGAGAATTACTACTTCACTCTCTAGAAAATATTACTGTGCGTTAGGGAGAGAACCTCTATCCTTTCTCTTTTTATTCCTACCCATGGGTGGGAGAGTGAATAATGTTATCTGGAACATGGAAGTCCGAATGTGCCAATTTCAGCTCCTTATCACTTCCCAGATATAATTTGTCCCCAGCACATACAATTCAGATATTCCTTTCACCAAGCCTGCCTCAATAGACAAGGCTTCTGGTTATCCAGATATGCCAATGTCTGGTTTATGATGAAACCTAAACAAGCCACTTTAACTACAGATCTTGAGCTACATTCTGCAATAAGCTTTATCAGTAGTGTGATAATTTTATATCCATATGTCCAACTTTCCTTTCTTCCTATTTGTTTTACAGTTGAATGAGGAAGGTAAAAAGGGCTATTTATTTGCCTTCCAGTTCCCCCAAGTTTTTGTTCTCTAAATCATTGCTGTGTCCTTGGGTGCTCTTAACTACAATTATCATCATGGAATTCCTTTACATTTTGAGCCTTAGGCAGTTTTCTCCATCTGCTGGCTGTGCATTTGGCAGCCTGTGGCCATTGCCCCTGTTGAACTGATTCCACAAATGCCTTTGGCCTGCTCCCATCACAGCTGCTGGGCTGATGTGAGAGATGGTACTGCCTTAGACACTTTCTCAGTGTTCGTTCCTGCCACTTCCACGGTTGCCGTGGCAGACATAGGTGCCTTCTCAAAAAGCAGTTAGTATCTTCTAGTCCCATGCACCATGTCTGGGCCCCTGGTGCTCTCCTTTGCAGCAGAAGTAAAACACTTCTCCAAATGTTTGGGACACGCATTGTGTTGAATCTACCCACATTGTGAGAAATGTTACTTTTCTATTCCCATGCACATTCCCCCCTCATTGGAAGCACAGATTTTCTCCTTAGAAGCACTCCCATTACAGAGTATGCAACCTTAATTCTTTCCTTTTGGGGCTCCTCTCCCTATAGTAAGAAGAAACCTTCTTCTTTCTAGATTTAGCTGACAGCTACTGAAACGAATACCCTGGTCAAGGATTGTGAGGCCGGAAGCAAAGGCATATTGTCAGTCATGCAGGAATTTGTTGGCCCATGTGTTGTGCAAACAGCTGCTGCATTTTCAATTTTGAACTTGGCAGACCTTATTTTAAATCTGCTTTGCCAAAAATTGTGGCTCATTTGCCTTATTTTCCTCTTCTCCCAATTGGAAAAAAAGAAAGGGTCAAATAGAGAGCTAAAGTGGGGTCAATATAGAGTTGAATCTCTAGCAAATGCTACTATGTATTTATCAGCATCACATAGTTTGGGGGTATTTCTGTGGCCAGTCCATTTAGGTATGTATGTAGGTACATCTGTATGTATGTAAGTACGTGTGTATGTATGGAACAAATAAATCATAGGGTTTAACAGAGCAGGCAACCATGAAATTAATGGTTTGTGATGGTTTTCTAGTGCCTGAGGAGATTTCTGGTCTAGTAAAATGCATCTATATAAATTCCCTTGCAACCCTGTAATGGTGTTTATTTCTTTTCCTAAAATTTCTTATATCAAATATTCTTCTTGAAATCATTCCCCACCAGTTTGTTTATTTTGTTTTAAAAAGTCAGAAAGATAATTTATGACACATGAGACTCAAAAGTCTCCATTTTTTGTTGTTGTTGCTGTTCAATGGTTCCTAATTTCCTACAGAATAAATTTCTAACCTTTGTCTGGATATAAAGGGAATGCCCTTCAATACTTGGTATGAAACTCTTTCCACCTTCCATCCCGGAGCACCTCTTTCTTGCCTCCTCTATAACTTCTTTCTCATCCTCCTGTCTCCTGGTGCCCATAATTCTAATTGAGTACTTCTTTTGGGAACATGTCATGCACTTTTATGCCTCAGAGAATTTCCTCTTGATATCTGCATCAGATTTTACTTAGATTTTTTTTTTCTCTCCCTTGCCTGCTTGGAGAATTCATACTCATCCTTCAGGACCCAACACAAACAATACCTTTATAAAGTCCTTAAGCTAATTGTTCAGTATTTCTTTGTTTGCATGTTTGCCTTATCAACTAGTGAGCTCCGCCAGGGTACGATATAAACTTATTCACCAAGTTCCTTCCCAGCACTTTTGCTTATTGTATCGGCGTGGAAAGAGGAAGAGGAAAAAGACATCTGTCTTCTCATATGACTGCCTGCTATCGCATCGCTTTTCCTATTTGTCATTACCACAGGCATAAACTGTTGCCTAAGGACACAGGGTGTGTGGCTGGTGGCATCAACAGGCCCCACGACTCGGGCACTGAGACCCAAGCTGGTCCCTCAGGTATGGTTAGCCCTTGAGAGATTCTGCCACATCTTCTCTCTGACCCCTGCTGGTGGTCTCATCCTCAAGCTCTTTCCTCTGGGGCTAAGCTCTACTTTGTATTGCATTGGTCCATGACCAGCCAGGAGGTTCAAGTGTCATCTACTCTGCATGACCCAAATGTGTGGGATGAAGGCTGGTACTCCATGTAACTTCCTTTTTGGCTTATATCCTTGGCCCCCTCTCCCCAGTACAAATAAATAAATTCCATTTACTCTCATAACAACTTTAGGTAGTATATACTATAGCTATCTGATTTGGTTTGGGTGTGTCCCCACCCAAGTCTCATCTTGAATTGTAGCTCCCATAACCCCCACATATTGTTGTTGGAGGGACCGGATGGGAGGGAATTGAATCATGGGGGTGGGATTTTTCCATGCTGTTCTCGTGATAGTGAGTAAGTCTCATGAGATCTAATGGCTTTATAAAGGGCAGTTCTCCTGCACATGCTCTCTTGCCTGCTGCCATGTCGGATATGCGTTTTTCTCCTCCTTCATCTTCTGCCATGATTGTGAGACCTCCCCAGCCATGTGGAACTGTAAGTCCATTAAACCTGCTTTTCTTTACAAATTACCCAGTTTTGAGCATTTCTGCATAGTAGTTTGAGAATGGACTAATACTCTATCCCAGTTTTACAGGTGAGGAAAGTGAGGCACAGAAGACGCAAAGTCAGAAGTGCCAGGATTAAAACCCAAGCAGTCTGGCACCAGAGTTAATGCTCTTAACCCAGTGTACTGTAAAGACTTTTATGTTAAATCTCATGCTTAAGTTAGAATATAAACTAATATTTGTTTACTGCCCACAGCATAACAGTTAGTTTATATGATATATATGTGTATATTCATTGAATCACTGAATGATGGTGGAGTCATGATACAAGTCCTAATTTTATGACTCAAGTAAATGATCTTTTTACTAACACAACTATTTTTGTAGTTCAAATGCCAAAATTAGTTTTTGAAGATTTATTTTTAACATCAGGGTAACTATTCTCCACTTTACAAAAGTATTCATAACAAAATTAGCTATAGAGAGGATGAGTAATTGTAGACCCTGAAAGATTTTGCTGTGCACTGATACTTTGTCTTCTGTTTTTTCAGCCCATATTACCAAATGCCTGACTTAAGAAAAAGAAAATGTAAACAAAAGACAGATTGAGACTGAAAGCACGAGAATTTTATTCCAGTGACTCAACCCCCATTGTGTGAAGTAGACCAGAATGAATAAATTGAACTTACTCAGCACCTCAATTATTAAATGCATCCACAGAAATTCATTCTGTCAAATTAACTGTGGAGGTTGTTGTTGCTATTGCAGGTATGAACATCTATCTTTTTGTGCTCTGTCATCACATCTGGTTTTTGCTTTCTAAACAGAACACCAAATTAACCCATTAAAGAAAATCACTGATTTCCACAGAACATTTGATTTATGTAAAGCAGCATATGTTTAATCATTTATTTTAATCATATTTCTCACTCAAGTTAAAAGTTATCAAAATAAAAAGTGTAGCATTAAATCACTATCATTGTTTCTGATAGATTACAGTGTTAGTACCTAAATGAAGAGATGTTATTCTATATTTTTGTTTTTTTTTGTTTGAGACCCTTCTTTATTATTTTCCCTTAAATATGTATTAGATTACAATGTTAGTAGACACTAGAATATTTCTTTTTGTTTTATGGCTGGATACTATTTTCTTCAGACTAAATGGTTTTCCGGGGAACTCTGACTCTGGCCACAAGATGAAGACTAACAAATTTCCTTTCTCTGTTTATGGAGGGAGACTTCATAACATTCATGGAAAGAGGAGCAAAGGACCTGGTTTTTGCCATGACTGGCTTTGGCCCTGTGAATGAATGTTCTTCTGGCATTGGAAAGTAGATAGCAAAGAGAGCAGAACCACAAATGGGCTATGAAGAAATGTGTTCAATGAAGAAGACAAAATCTCTGACAAGATCCAACATAGGACCACATCTCAGCATCTTCTGTGATTTATGAACCCAAGTAAAGCACTTCTTAGAGTTATCTGGCACATTCGCAACTAATAGCTTTCCATGAATAAATACTGTGGCAACCACATTAACTGTACAAATACAAACTGCTCATTTCTTATATTCATGCTGGAAGATTATCTGGCTGGCCTATCAGCCGTGATGTCAGGAATGTCAGCCAGTTATCCTATGGTGCATTCAGCCGGGTCATTGTGCCCCATCAGTGAGGCAATTGCAAAGTTCCATCTGAACAGAGGTAGAAAAAATTACATTCACTTTGAGTTTTGGATTGTTTTTTCTCTTAATTTTCAAAGATAAAGACAATTGCTTTTGGCTTTTAAGAGACACATCTGGTATGCCTTGGGCTGGAAGCCAGATATTTCTGCTGTTGAGTTTTTATAACATTGTATAGGCCTCAATATTTTAGAATTAGTATACATTTGATAAAAATGACTTGTCTAAAGTTTTAGGGAGAATCTTTTGCTTAGGTGCAGCTGAGTATTTTTAGTTCAATGCTACAGATGGCATACCAAATTTAAGAGGAGTCGAGTGACTGCTTCAAGGTTGCACAGCTAGTTCTTGGTAGATCTGGGAGAGCACCAGTATCCCTTGGCCCTTTGTCAGATATTCTTTCTTTGATTTCACACTGTTTTTAAAGATGTTTAATACATTTTAAAATAAAATAGTTATTTGAATCTGCTTAAACTAGACAATACTAATTGTCAAACATCCATCACCCGTTTCTTCTCTAGAAATAGATTGGTGGAAAAGAATTGCTGTTTTTACCATTACTTTTAATGGCATTAATTACTTTTAATGGCAAAAACCCCAGTTCCTTTTGCACCAGCCTAGTAATATAACCCCTAATTTTAACTTGGCATGTGGCCAACCAGAATAGAAAGTACATGTTCCTACGTCGCTTTGAGTAGCATTAGCTGAAGTAATCTTCAGTGGGAATGGGAAAAATGAGGTGTACAACTGCCCGGCTGCACTCTTATAGGAAAGGCATAACCCTTCATTTCCCTTTTATCTTTTCCACTCACTAGAGTAGTGATTTGGTCATAATTCATTCTGGACCATGTTGACAAGGGCAATACGCTGGAGAAGGTAGAGAAGAAGTCAGAAGGGACTTGTATCCCTGATACTATGGAACTGTCTTGCAACCCTAGTTTGCTTCTGTCTATACTTTTATGCAAGAGAAAAAATGAACATTTATTTGTTTTAACTACTGATACTTAGATCTCAGCTACAGCAACTGAACACACAATGATATTTAATAATTTGCAAATGTTATACTGCCAGGTGATGTGTTATAACTACCAAACTTAAGTGCAGTAAATGGGCATTATGTTTATTTAAATGTCTGGCAATCTTGGAATTAAACCGTTACCATCATATGTTACATGAGATGGTTTTCCATTCCATTTAGAGTCCGTACAATAACTCATACAATGTGTCACTACTGCTCTCCCTTCTTGGCGGACTTCAACCATACTTACTTCTTTGCTGTTCCTAAACATTCCAGATATGCTCAGTGTTTCTTCCTCAGGGTAAATGTTGTTTTGTTGGTCGTGTGGTGTTTTTTTTTTTTTAAATTCCTCTGCAGCAAATCTCTGCCTAGTATTCTGCATATGGTATTTTGCTTCCACAATTTTAGAATTTTTCTCAGTTGTTATCTTTTCATTAAGTCCTTTCCTGATGAATTCAACAAATTCCATTCTCCACTGCGTGGCACTTGTATATCCTTTGCATTTGTGTTTTCTCCATATTATTTATTTCTCTTCTTTTCCCCTTCTCATTGAAAGAAAAGATCTGTGGGAGTGGAGATTTTGCCATTGCTGTACTCTCACAACACTGTCTGCCAACGAAAAGTCACTACGTAAATACCTATTGAATGGATGCATGGATCAACAACTGAATGTTTTAATAGATGTGAATGATGTTATGATCTATTAAGGGGTTTATATTAAGCTGATAACCAACTTAATTTTCTGAAATATCCATAAAAGGAATATGTTGGCTCCTCTAGAGGTAAAATCTCTTCCAGTGATAAATATTTCACACACTGATATGCACACCTCATTCATTCACAAACATAGTTGGATTTCGCAAAAGATTACTAATTTCTGATTTTGAATTAATTAGCAAAATCTGAAAATTTCAAGGGTTTTAGGAAACAATTTTATCAAATATATTCTGCAATATGTGTTTTACTATTTTATTTCTGATCTTTATTTTCCCAAAGTAAAAATTCTGTGCTTTATTGGCCTTGAAAATATAAATAAATGAAGAATAAATAATCTTTTTTTATAGTGCCATTAACTAAATGCTAAACTAGTATAGTAGGAATAGACTTATTATACTACATTTCTTTTCTAATTTTAGTAGAGATGGGGTTTTGCCATGTTGGCCAGGATGGTCTCAACCGATTGACCTTGTGATCCACCCACCTCGGCCTCCTGAAGTGCTGGGATTACAGGCGTGAGCCACTGCATCTGACCACTTTTTTTTCTTTAAACAGTGATATCTTTTAAATGAATTAAGAGAATTTTCATTTTTATATTTACCTACATACTCAGCATTATCAGTGCTGTTTCTGTAGACTCATATTTCATCTCATATATTTATCTTTAGCTATTATACTTCTTTTTTATAATACAGATCTGAGGGTGACAGATTCTCTCAAGTTACACTTACCTGAAAATGACTTCATTTTCCCCTAATTTTTGAACTGTATTTTTGATGGAAAAGTAATACTGGGTTGACATACTTTATAGAACTTAAGAGATGTTATCTCATCTTCTGGCCTTCATTGTTTCTGGTAAGAAGCCAGATCCCATTCATATCTTTATTCTGTGTGTAATTTATTTTTTTATGTCTGGTCATTTTCAAGATTTTGTCTTTAGCTTTGGTTTTCAGCAGTGTGACAATAATATGCTTAGGTGTGGATTTTTTTTATATTAATCCTGCTTAGTTTATGAATTTGCAAGTTGACATTGTCACAAAATGTGGGACATTTTTGGGCTTTTCTTTGAATATGTTTTAACCCCTTTTTTCCTACCATTTCTTTTAGGACTTTATATATTTTAGACTGGATATTACTCCACATGTCACTGAGAATCTAATCTTTATTATTCAATCCTTTATTTATCAGTTCTTCAAAACAAATTATTTCTATTAAACATTCTTTGATCAGTTCTTCTTCTTCTCCAATCTGCTTTTATTCCCATCACAGAAAATTTTGATATAGCGTAATTTTTTATTCTAGAATTTTAATTTAGATTTTGGATATTGGTCCTTTGTTGGATGCATACTTTGTGAATATTTTCTCCCATTGTGTAGGCTGTCTGTTTACTCTGTTGGTATGCAGCCTTATTTCTGAGTTCCTTATTCTATTTCTTTGGTCTATGTGTCTGTTTTTTGTACCAGCACCATGCTGCTTTGGTTAGCACAGTGTTAGTACTACAGTGATTGTAAGTCCAGGCACCAAAAAGGAAACTGTCCATCTAAGAATCAGAGTTACCTTTCTGTTTCTGTCTTTAAACATTATTTTTTTCAGCTAATGGGTAATGGACAAAATATTTATGGATAGTGTATAAAAGTCATGATTTGTATGATACGTAGTTAAAATATTTTTGTTCCAATAGAAAAAAGCAGACAAAATCTTTCAATATTTCTATTTTTCTATCCTAATCATTCCAGAGAATGTTGGTTTGGGTTTTCAAACTTCATTTAACATGAAGCTTCACGTAAAAGCACAAAAAAAAAGAAAAAAAGACTTTTTTTTTTTTACCTTTAACAAAATAGAAAGTAAGCGAGCTAATCTAAACACATAAAAAAACATTCAGATGGCAAGTTTGACCTTGGTTCTAGTCCAATATTTTACATAGGAAAAGTCATTTTGTCTAGTCTTATTATTATAAATACACTTAAAATCCATAAAATTTATGTTTAGTTTTATCTTTAGTATTACCCTACATTTAATGCATTTTAGTTTTTACATAACAGAAATTATATCTATTGAATATATGTCTACATTACAAAAATCAATCAGAAGATATATTAAAGGAAAAAATTCCCCATTTCTCAGTCTCATACATCTCCTGTTGAATTTATTTGTCATAATTCTATTGAATTATTTACTTTTTTTGTATGTACTTTATGTTCTGGGGTACATGTTCATAACGTGCAAGTTTGTTACATAGGTATACACGTGCCATGATGGTTTGCTACACCCATCAACCTGACATCTACATTAGGTATTTCTCCTAATGCTATCCTTCTCCTAGCCCCCACCCCCTGACTGGTCCCAGTGTGTGATGTTCCCCTCCCTGTGTCCATGTGTTCCCATTGTTCAACTCCTACTTATGAATGAGAACAAGCGGTGTTTGATTTTTCTGTTCTTGTGTTAGTTTGCTGAGAATGATGGTTTCCAGTTTCATCCATGTCCCTGCAAAGGACATGAACTCATCCTTTTTTATGGCTGCATAGTATACCATGGTGTATATGTGCCACATATTCTTTATCCAGTCTATCATTGATGGACATTTGGGTTGGTTCCACGTCTTTGCTATTGTGAACAGTGCCACAATAAACATATGTGTGCATGTGTCTTTATAGTAGAATGATTTATAATCCTTTGGGTATATACCCAGTAACAGGATTGCTGGGTCAAATGGTATTTCTAGTTCTAGATCCCTGAGGAATCACCACACTGTCTTCCACAATGGTTGAACTAATTTACACTCCCACCAACAATGTAAAAACATTCCTATTTCTCCACATCCTTACCAGCATCTGTTGTTTTCTGACTTTTTAATGACCGCCATTCTAACTGGCGTGAGATGGTATCTCACTGTGGTTTTGTGCCAGCAAATACTGGGTCTTATTTATTCTTTCTGGGTTTTATTTGTTCCCATTAACCATCCCCACTTCCCTCCCACCTTCACTCCCCACTATACTTCCCAGACTCTGGTAACTATCCTTCTACTCTCTATCTTCATGAGTTCAATT